CAGGTACACGTACCTTGCTGACCCCGCCATTGGAACGGGCGGCGACAAGGAGGCCGCCGAGCTATGGGCCTTCTCTGCCGCTATCTTGCCGTGGATCAGCGCATGTGATCCCGCGGTGGGAACCGCTGTCCGCGACAACACCGAGCTCGGGGGCGCCAGCGCGCCCATGGCGGACGGGTACGCGGCGATCAAGGGGCAGCTGGAGAGTGTTTACTCTTGCATGGGCATCACGTGTGCTCAGGTTGGCGGTCTTCTGGACGACACTGGCGCCTACTACACGAACTTCGAGCCATGCACGGACTCTTCGGACGGGACTTTGGCAAGTACCGACAGGTCGAGCGACAGCGGCCTTGACGATGGTGGTATCGCCGGTGTAACTATCGGCGTCATCGCAGCTGCTGCTATCGGCGTTGCGGCGCTCGCGGTCTGCAAGAGGAGAAGGAAGAGCGCAGCGACAGTCAACGAGAACTTAGGCAACTTTTAAGCTCTTTCATCTCGGGTGCAACTGCATTTTTACAGAAATTCATACATTCAAGGCTTTCGGGAGTGACGTGGTGTGCCTCCCGGGGGCGGCACAAGAGGAGATGATCAGTGTAATCGCGGTCGCATCGGTTCATCATTTTGTGTTTTGTGCTTTTCGTTTTTTTGTTCGCAGTGACGTCTTTGCTGCGGGTCCTTTACTGCCGTTATCCTTGGCTCTCCGTATACTCGTGTTGTCCATGGTCTGTGGCACTTCTGTGCGTTGCGCAGGAATCAGAACAGAAATCATCCTGTTTGGTGCAAAACAGGTTTTTGTGTTCCTTGCAAAGGCTTTTTTCGCGTGGAACAAGTCCCCGGGGGTATAGACCGATTTGTTTCAACGCTGGGCACGCGCCACGAGTGGCTGGCGGTCCTCGGGCGCGGGTTGTAGTGTACCGACGACACCTTACCGTGCCCCAGAGAAGTAAGCGTGAGAAAAGACTCGCGTCCGCCAGCGAAACATGTGTCAAAGTACGCCGGAAGTACGAAAACAGGCGAACTGATACACACAATGCGTTTCTCCTGATTGTCGGTTAAGACCTGTTGCGCTGCTGTTGCGTCTGTTGTGTGTTAATCAAATCAATTTTGCTGGACAAGTGTCCTATTGTTGAACTATTTGTGGACATGGGGAAGGGGGATGGGGGGGGTTGATCCCCGAATGATGTTTTTCAAAGTGGTTGGTAAGTTTCATTTGTTGGCGACCGACCGTATTTCACCTCAAAATTTGTGTAGGCATGCTTTGACACCGGGAGGGGCGGACGAAGGTTACACATTCGCCTCCACCGTACAAGGAGCATGCACGGGAAATTTATGGTAGAGAGCTTCATCCAAGCGAGGTAGGGAAGAACCGGAAGTAGCTGAGTGCATGGAGTTGTATGTTGGTTCAACCGCTTGCAACCTACATCAGAGCTCTCTTTTTTCTTGCCCGTTGATTTACCCCCACCATGCATACCAATCAACGATATAATTATAGGTTTCTGACCACCGGCTAGGGTCACGCTTCGGTAGTCACGGTCAGCAGCATGTAGGTTTTTTGCAAAGGTTGGCGTGCATGGAGGTTCTACGTTGGTCTGTCTTTGTTGGTAATCTCTCGTGCGTTATTCTGAGATGTTGAGTTTGTTAGCTTCTAGACTGATCGATTGGTATGTATGTCGATGTATGCATGCTGTTGGCTTCCGGAGTGATGGGTCGTAGAAGTCTACTTCAGTCACCAGCCTCAAGGTCCCACAACGGTGTGCCAATGCAGACAGACCTGTATCTCGTGGGTTATCTATTAGACTAAGCGTGATTTCGTTGGGTCGTCCTTTGTTCCGATCAGGGGGGGGTTCTTGGAGGGTTAACTGTTGATCAGCAAGTTACTTCATGCAGAGAGCGTACTGGATGGAGGTACGTACATGAGAGGAGACGCTCGTTCGTGTATGATGATGAGGTGGTAAAAAAGTAAGCAGCACCCGGGCAGGCAGCGAAGGCGTGGTGGTGGAAGGATGCACCAACACCACAGGTAGCTAGCTAGTTTTTCCGTTGAGCGAACGAAGCTGCTTGGTGTAAGGTCGCGCGTCGCGAACAAGCCTTTCATTGTATGCTGTATGTACAAACGAGAGGATCATTAGGACGTGAACGGAACGCCTACGTTAGCTAGAATGAGTCGACCACATGGTCTCATCTGTGGAAGGAAAAAAAAGAAACGCTTCAAACCCAGGTTAGAAAACTAATTGGAGTTAGTGGAAGGCGGCTTCACCTGCTGCCGTGGAAGGTGATACCATTGCAGCAGCAAGCAGTAGTTGCACGAACCCACGTGTATCTATGAATCGTAATATGCGAACAACGTGCTCGCGTGTGAAAAATGGATCGATCGATGTGACTGTTGACATGCGCAAACACACGTGCATCATCCGTACGTAAAAGGAACCCATGCACAAGTCTCAGGTACGTGGCGGGTTGACAAGCGGGGCACACAGAAAGGTCTCAAGTGGGGCAAGAGAACAATCAACGAACTGCTGTGTCACCGCCCTGATTTTGACTTGGTCGAAACTCAAGTCTTTCATCAAGTAATAATAATCTTCTTTCGCTCCCAGCAACAATCGCAACGAGCGTCTACGACCACCTGGAAGGGTACGTGACGGAGCTCGAAGCGATTTACCAGGACCGCGACATGCGGGGGCTGTACCAACACCTCAAGCGATCAACGGGCCTCAGCGGGAGAGAAGCTGGGAGGCAGCATTTAGTTCGTTACAGATGAGACCGGCGTGCTGCTCCGGAACAAGAATGCCATCCTCAAGCGGTGGCAGAGATTCTTCGATACCCTCCTGAAGAACTCCAAGCCTCCCACCCTTAACCCAGACGTTGTCGAACAGGTGACGCAGCGACCAGCGACGCGCGCCACCCGACGCCTGGCGGCGGTACCAGACCTCGAGGAGGTTGAGGTGGCAACGAAAGGTTTGGGGAACTGGAAGGCGGTTGGCCCCGACCTCCTTGNCCAACACCTCAAGCGATCAACGGGCCTCAGCGGGAGAGAAGCTGGGAGGCAGCATTTAGTTCGTTACAGATGAGACCGGCGTGCTGCTCCGGAACAAGAATGCCATCCTCAAGCGGTGGCAGAGATTCTTCGATACCCTCCTGAAGAACTCCAAGCCTCCCACCCTTAACCCAGACGTTGTCGAACAGGTGACGCAGCGACCAGCGACGCGCGCCACCCGACGCCTGGCGGCGGTACCAGACCTCGAGGAGGTTGAGGTGGCAA